AAGGTTACACCCGAGAGTACTTAGGGAGTTGGCAGGGGTTCTCTCTCACCTGCTGGCCTCCATTTTTGAGACCTCGTGGAGAACGGGTGAAGTTCCAGAGAACTGGAGGGTGGCATCAGTGGTCCCAATTTTCAAAAAGGGTAGTAGAAGGGACATGGGGAATTACAGACCTGTTAGCCTTACGTCCATTGTAGGAAAAACAATGGAAAGGCTCATAATAGAGATCTAGTGATGCTAGACAGGGAAGGGAGGCTGACAGCCACACAACACGGCTTCCGCAAAAACAGGTCCTGCCAGACAAACCTTGTGGAATTCGATGACAAGGTTTCGAGATGGCTAGATGGAGGGGATGCAGTGGATGTGGTATACCTGGATTTCAGCAAGGCCTTTGACAAAGTGCCCCATGATATCCTGGTGGAGAAACTGAGGAGTTTTGGGATACACGAAAGCACTGTCCAGTGGATTAGGGCATGGTTGACTGACCAAAAGCAGAAGGTAACCATTGGCGGGGAATCATCAGGATGGCGGCCAGTGACGAGCGGGGTCCTCCAGGCCTCTGTCCTGGGGCTGATCCTGTTTAATCTTTTCATTAATGACATGGAAGAAGGGATGAACAGTATGCTGATCTAATTCACAGACAACACTAAAACTGGAGCACTGGCCACAACTGAGGAGCAGGTACTCCAGATTCAAAAGGATCTGGACAGACTATGGAAGTGGGCAGGAGACAACAGGATGGCGTTCAATGTGGATAAGTGCAGGGTCTTGCACTTGGGGCACAGGAATAGCTGTCATAAGTACAGGTTAGGTGACAAGTGGCTGGAGAGCAGCACTTGTGAAAGGGACCTCGGGGTACTGGTTGACTGCAGGCTAAACATGAGTCAGCAGTGTGATGCAGTGGTCAAGAGGGCGAACGCCACCCTTGGTTGCATAGCCAGAAATGTGACTTCTAGATCAAGAGAGGTATTACTACCACTCTACACGACTCTGGTGCACCCGCAACTGGAGTATTGTGCTCAGTTTTGGGCCCCTTATTACAGAAAGGATATAGCCAGGTTAGAGTCAGTGCAGTGTAGGGCCACAAGGTTGGTAGCCGGTTTGCAGGGGATGGGGCATTGAGGCGAGACTGAGGGAACTGGGTCTCTTCAGCCTGGAGGAGGGGATATGTTGGCGACATACAGGTGAGGGGATGTCACATGGAGATGGGTAGAGACCTGTTCTCCCCTGCAGAGGAAGGCAGGACGCGCTCCAATGGAGCAAAGCTCAGGGAGCCAAGGTTCCATTTGGATGCCAGGAAGCATTTCCTGACAGTTAGAACCCCGAGGGAGTGGAATGGGCTTCCACAAGAGGTCATTGAGGCCCCATCGGTGCAGGTGTTCAAGGATAGACTGGACGTCCACATGGTGGGCATGTCGTGAGCGGAGCCAGCTGGTGCCAGAGGTCAGACTAGATGGCCCAGGAGGCCCCTTCTGACTCGCTCTGTTTCTATGTTACACAGAGGGTTGGACTCGATGGCCTTCATGGCCCCTTCCAACTCTATTTTATGATATCTGTGGAGGAAGGGTAGGTTGCTTGGTACGTGTGACACTAGTGTTGCACTATTTTCCAAACCCAATTAAAACAATTAAAAATACTGTTTGTGATATTGAAAGCTCTAAGTAGTTTGAGATAAGTTGAAATAAGTGTATCCCCATAATTAAGCTTCAAAACAGGTAATAAAGACTTATTTCTTCAGCCATTTCTGTTTGAAAGTGTTTTACACAATAACTTCATCTGGTGCTACACTGTTTTAATGATAGTATGTAGAAATGAATTTGGTTATTACTACTGATCAGTACTGTCTTACATTTTCAGTGATTATGTTATCAAATATACTGTTTATATAATGTAAACTTTGTGAAACCTTGGCCCTAAAAAGTAGTCACTTTAATAAATACATTCACATTTACACTGAAAGCACTGAGATGTAGAAAATCCATTGCATCTGAAGCAAGTCTTGCTTCCCTTTAGTTCTTTAAACCAAGAAATGGGGCAACAGAGACAGACATTTGTCTGTATACAATTTTTATTACTATTATATTTGTTATGGTCAGATTTGTAGGTTCCAGATACAGAGCAGAATTTAAGCATGTCTTGCATTTTCTTGCTGTCAAGAACAAAAGTTCTCTCTTCACCTACTGCTACAACAAACTGTTAAAGCTATCCATGAGTTCAAATTCCAATCATTAACATGAAGAATTATCATGGAAAAGCTAAACCCTTTATTGGAGAAAAAGAAATTAGTATTTCCTGATGTACAACTTATCTGAATCTTTTTTTTGGGGGGGGTGCATGCATTATTTGCCACTTCTGTGCTCTTTCAAACTACTCAGTGTTCATTCTAGATTAAAATGTGGTTCTTGATTCTTACTTCATTCATAATGATACTAAAAGTCATTTAGAAAGCATTTCTATGGCTCCTAGACATTATCTAGGGGGCCATAGGATACTTCAGATTCTTGTATCCAAGGCTAGAAACAGAGAGCCAGCCTTGGAGATGGGATTCCATGCTCTATTCCTCTTCCCCTCACTTGCAGCTGGGGTGGGAAGAACCACACTGGCTGCCTGTACAGGACTGAGAGAAACTTCTTCTTCAAGCTGCACTCAAGTCCTCTAATGGCAGCCTCTTCTTTCTAACTGGAGCTGCCAACCCACAACTGTGCTTCTGAAATTAAAAGGCCTACCCAGTTAGCTCTGGGACTCAGAATGGCTTTACATTTACCTGCCTCACTTGTGCCCATCTTGTGGTCATGTGATTGCTTTCTCTATAGGGGGCTTTCTCAACACACATTTGATATCCCCTTTAAGCCAAACCTACATGTGGGAAAACAGGATGCTCTTCTAGAAAGCAAACAAATAGGTGGTCATTCCTGGGACCAGTTCGGCTGCTTTCAAGTTACCTAATGTTCACGTCTAATGCCCCTGTCCTGAATTAAATATATAATTTAAACCATGCTTCTGAGAGAGAGGCATGTGTCATTATGAGCTCTAAGTTCTAAATGTGATGTTGCTTCCTTTTAAAATAGCTGAAACATTCAGTTCATTCAGAAACTGTTTTGAAAACAAAACTAAAAAAGGTTTTATGCCATGAAGCTGGAGTCATCCATGGAACTTTTCATTAAAGAACTAAAGGAGAGAGCAGATATCCCTGGCATGTGGCCAGCACATATTTGCAGCATCCGGAGCAACCTCTGAGCTGTGGTAATTCTGATCTTCTCACACTGGAAGAAAGAGACAGAAAAGATGTGATGGCCTCAAGGAAGGTGTACAGGAATATAAGTGATGCCAAAACAGAAGCATGAGACGAATATACTATGCTATTTGTACATTAACTACTGCAATCCAGTCCCATAAACTGCCAGAAGCAGAGAGCAGGCACATTGCAATGTGCATATAGAACAGTACCTCCATAATGACTTGTGCATGCAAGGTAAGATTCAGCTCTAGTTCTGCAGAAAGTGGAGAATTCTTTTCAGAGACACAGTGGGTATTCAGAGTATTTTGCCTTGCATTTTACAGTAATTTTATATGCCATATGGGCAATAAAACAGTTTGTAGAAGAAGGCATCCCTTTTGTAGATTTTTAGAATATAATATATATATTGTATCTGCAATCTACTTGGAAATCCACTATGAGGAGAATTTTGGTGGATAGGGTTCCTCTCTCTGCCTGTTGTCGTAAGGCAGCCACCAACAGTTTTGGAGCCTGCTGAAGATCTTTATTTAAACAAGTCTCCCTTAATAGACCAGTCATAGTTTTCTTGGCATAGTTTGATTTTCATTATACATTTCAACTACTATTTCTTCCATACTGACAATAATTTCCAAGAGGGGTTTCCTCACCCAATAGTGTAAAGTATGTACAGGGGAAAAAGTGAAGGAGTCTTACTTCTAGCTCACAGAACAGAACAGGGCTACAGTACCGATCTGCCAACTTCAAGACAGCATTCATATCCACACTGATTTGATGCATTCTACCAACTAAAAAAAAGAAACATAAAGACACACATTTCCAACTCTCCAATGTTTTTTCCCCACTCTGACACTTTCTTTTGATTTCTATACTTTAGTTCCAGTCATCTTTATTTTCAAAATGTAATCTAAATCCTAGTTGTGTTTAAAATCGCTCAACAGAAAAGCAGTATTTGCTAAGACAGTCATCCAACAGCCATCCCCTAATGAAAATAGACTGGCACCATTAAGAATTTCATATCTGATTTATTTAACACAGCAGATCAAGATAGTATCAATACACCACCTTGAAACCTTTTATTTCTCTAACAAGTTCCCCAAGCAGGAACACACAAAGTTATACAGCTGGAGGACTGGAAAGGAAGATAATTGTCAATAACAGAATTCAAGTGGAATTCTGCTATATTTGCCGGTGAAGCATGCACTGCATAGTCAAGCTGCTTTTAGGGTGTTTTAAGGACATCAACAAATGAAAAACATTTGAAGTATCAAGTTTAAAACAGGAAAGTTATCTCATACATACCACCCACAGCCAGAAAGCACACTTTTCCAAGGAAAAAGTTGGCATCTACATGTATCAATGATGCTTCAATATCCTTAAAACTGGTAGAAGACCAAAGAAAAGAAAACAAAGTGAAAGGTTTACTTGGAATTTGGAATGAGGCCCCTGGAAATTACTAAATATATTTAATATTTAATATTTGTAACTTACAAATTATGGGCTATTCGAAATTATAACAGAAGAACAGAAACTGCTCCATGAACATATGTGGAAATTAAATATGAAATTAGAAATTATAAGTTCAATAGGAATTAAATGATTAAACCCCGAAGCTCCTTTCTATATCCTGATTAGAAACGTCTGCCTTGATAAATGACTTTATCTTGGTAGAAAGCCAGACTATAAATCAAATCAAGATCAATGAAAAGAATAATAGCTTTCATTAAAGTTAATCCCTGGAACAGATTGATCTTTCCTTCCAGATTCAGAAATGTCAGAATGAATTACCTTGATAAGGTATTTTCTGATCTGTTATGTTTTACAGCTATTACTGAGAGACAACCAACTGGTATAACAAGGCTGGAGTATGTTGGCAGTTATGGGAATGATCTACTTCCACATGTATTAGTGTAATCAAAACAACTCCTAGTGGCATAACTTTAGTAGCTTTCATTACAAGTGATATTTTAGTCCCCATTTGCAAGACATAAAGAATGCCTTACAAAACTAATGCAAGATGGTCAGGAATCTTGTGCTTATATGGTAAATAATTGTCTTTTGACTTCTGAGAGTGTAGGAGCCATAGCAGGATCATACCATGGGTCAGGTGACCAGATCATTATCTGTTCCATCAATCTTACCTTTACTCCAAGGCAATTCAAGTGCATTCAAAGAGGATCTTTAAATAGGTTTTATCTTCACACATCAAGTATTTTTATTTATTTATTTTCTATACTGACCAACAGCCAAAGCTCTCTGGGAAGTTCAAGATAACTTAATTTGTAAGATAATTAAGGGTTTAACTCTATGGCTATTTAGACAGAAAAATGCCTATAGCTGACACAAGCATACTGGGAGCTATAGACTTTTTTCTGTCTAAACACAGATAGGATTGTGTTAAAGGCTGCCTTGTTCCATGAGCTTCGTTGCTTCAATATCTGAGTTTAGGTTCCCCACATCCATAATGGCATACACTTAAAAAAAAGAAAAGAAAAGCAAAGCACACACTTGTGCTTTCTGCACATACCTGTATTTGCTTTGAATGTTTATTATAAAGACAATCAGATCAATCCGAGGGCGGATGTGATCTCTCTCCGCAGGTAAAGGGAGAGAGGTTGTCAAGTGGCTGAGAAAAACAAGGTGAAGTTTTAATTAATGCTTGGAAACTGATAAATTTGATAAAGAAGTTAACACAGATGCACTTCATTTCAATCAGATACATGGTAGATATTATTTAATAGAATACAAAATTGAATGTAGCAGAGATCAATGCTACTTTAATTATAACTAAAACACAGGTGAGGGAACCTGTCACGGCCCAGATGCTTTTGGATTCCAACCCCCATTAGCCTCAGCCAGCATGACCAATGGTCAATGGTCAGAGAGGTTAATAATGATGAAGCTACAGTCCAAAAGCACCCGAAGGACCACATGTTTCCTACCCTAGCTGTAAAGTCCAAAGGCACTATTTTACTTATTAGTAATGTGTGTGTGTGTTTGTGTGTGTGTAATTTCTCATTTTAGACGAATTCTGAAGCTACTTACAAAAGAAAAGGAAGCTGAATAAAACAAATAAAAATCACATACAAAATTATATTATGATACTGATACAAGTTAGCTCATTGTTGGGGGAATGCAAAGTAAACATGTGTAGTCCATGGCAAAGGCAATGGGGTCTCCCATCAAACTCATAATAATTTGGGAGGCTGAAAACATTTCTTGAAGTAACCTGGAGCTGTACAAGTTAGAACTCTGCATACTAATAGTAATACTTAAAACCTAGCTCTGTGGCAGACTGGCAATTAGCGCGGAGCCTTTGGCAAATGTATAACAGTGCTGCTTCATTCTGCAATAACTGCAGCTTCTGATTCAACCTTAAGGATAGCACAACATAGAGTGCATTACAATAATCATATCTTAAAGTTATCAATGAGTGAGTCACAACTGTTATGCTATCCCTGTCTAGGAATGGGTGCTGCTGTTCTACACTTACTGAACAATGCAATTGCACTATGATTTTGGAGTTAATCCACCCACCTTCTTAACAGAAAAATGGCCTGGTTAGGTTGTCACATAAATGCTGGGTTGTTAGGAAAGGACGAGTAAGATGGTTCTTACTGCTACTGCTGCCAGATGAAATGAAACAATTCAGAGACAACCCATTCCCGAGATGTTTAGCATGATGTCAAAATGCAGAAGTGTGGGTTGTTATGTGAGACACAACCTAGAGTTGTAAACCAAGAACAAACCTTGGGTTACATGCAGGATTGTCTCTCAACCAAGAATCCAGATTTCTGCATTTGGACATCAATGTCACTTGTGTTGTTACTTATTTATTTTTTAAAGCTCAGAGGAATGATTGGGTGGCTTAAGCCCAGAACATTCACTCCTGCTTTCAAAAATCCTGGGGAGTCATGATGTCCAATCAAGCCTTGATTTTCTTAATATCTTTATCTGGTATCAGCTAGCAAGATGGGTGCCCAGGAAAATTAACATACCTAAATAAACCCAAAAGTCAATATAGTAAAGACATTAAGTGGTAGAACATTACTACTACCATTTTAGAACATTGTATTTTGTTCCAGACCACATCAGCCTTGTAGAACAAAAAACTCATTACTGTAGAACAGCAACCTTTGTAGCATTCTACAAAATATGAGAAACAAGACTGATAACTTTCACAGCATAACTTTCAAATTAAGTGGAAAGAAACTTAAATTTTCAATGTTAACTACTTACATATTTATGTTGAAATCTTGTTTTTCCTTAAGGATGGCTTCTGCTAACTGCTGCTGTAAAATATCATTTACCCCCACCAACTATTAAAAAAGAAAAGAAATTTCAGTCAAAGGCTAAGGAAAGTAGTTACTTATTTCAACTTGCTCCTATCTAGGTCACCATGCCCCAACTCGTCCTTTATCAGGTCTAGTTATCATGTCCACCTCTGATATCCCAGTTGCAGCATTGTAACAGTTCTGTCCACTAATGGATTTGATAGCTTTACCTGTGGATAGCACGAGTAGTTACAGCTTCTCCCATCACTAGTTACAGAACCAGGGCTTACTATAAGAAATGTAGGGATGCAAACCTCCATTGTGCCAACGAAGCACATTCATTATATATATCTACCTCAGTGCTCACCGAGATGAGGCAAAACCCACACTCTATATCCACTCAGAGGCCATTCTTTACTTTATAATTCAAAAGAAAAGCCCTATGCCAGCTGTCCCCAACCCAGTGCCATCCAAAAGTTTTGGATTTCAAGTCCCAGCAGTCCCTGATAGTATGGCTAGTGGCTAAGAATCTTGAACACTGTAATCCAAACCATGAGGAAGAGAAATGCCAGGTAGGGTAAGGCTACCATAGAACAGCACCTTTGCAAGGAGAAAAAGAATCTGTACGTTAAGGGAACCTAAAACCAAAAGGACACCACTAAAAAGGCGAGCTTAAACGCTCCGCCGCCGCCCGGGGGGAGGGTCGACGCCGGAATCGGCTTTCTCTCGCTCAGAACTGCCGCAGACCCACCAGCCTCACAAAAAAGAACAAAAGAGCGGAAGAGAGAACTGAGACGTTATTTTTCGATGCAACAATACAAACCAAAATGGTAGCGGAGTTAAGCGTCGGGAGCTTCCCAAAAGCTGTCAGCACCGACATCTCCACGAACGAAAACCGCGTTCTCCGGTTCAAACTGCCGCCCGTCCTGACGTCAATACACAGCGCCGTGAGTGGGCGTGGCTGCACGAATCCAAGGCGACCATTTGTGGAGGCGCGTCATAAGTGTTGCGGCGGGCGAGTGGGCGTTTTCGTGCAGGCTCAGAGCTGCTTGTTCTTAAGGTTGTGTTGTTCATACGACCCGAGTGGACACGGGTGCTGCGCGGCTCCTCTTGGAGCAGCTGCTGGTACAGCTGTTGCTCGCCTCTTTGTTTCTGCATGTAGGGCAGTAGCGGGGCAAGGGGCACCGTTGGCCGCTGCGTGTGCCGTATGATGCCCTCGCCTGAATGGGGAGGGCGTGATGCGGGGATGGCAGCTCGGACGGGAGCAGCGCCTAGCGAAGCGACCCCTTTCACGCAGCAGCCCAAAGGGGTGTGCGAAGTGTTGCTCTTTTGGTATGGGCTAAACGTTATTGTGGAAGCTCCTCCGCTTGACTTAGTAGTAAATAAAAATGCCTTGCCTTAAACTAATTGATTATGCAGGTATGTTAGGATAGAATTAAGGCCTCAATGAGACACTGCAGGTTCCCAGGAACCTAACCACTGCATTTATCGATTTAGTTAATTCTGTTCGTTACCTTAAAGATTACAGATTCAGAACAGGGCTAATTTGCTGTGACCAGAAGGGTAAATATTCTTTCTGTTTGCTGGTAATTTATTAAAAGTGTAACTAAACATGTTCTCTGCATTTATTTATATGAAAAGTTTTGCACTGCTCTTTTAGTGGCTATGCACACTCAGGGAAGCTTATAACAATTACGACTGTAAGATTGATTGCAGAGGCATTCTGTAAATACAAGGATATGATCAGGCAGGTAGGTTATTGGGTAGCAAAATTGCTGCCAGTTAAAAGAAAGGCCTGCTGGAATAAAAACAACTTTTTCTAGCTAGTGGAAGGCTGAAAAATGGGGCTGAGCAGGTCTCATGGTGAAATAATTCTACAGTGTGGATGAGAGCACTAAAAAATTATTATCTTGTCTCCTCAACCTAGCATCCTTAGTTGGGACACAGAGAGACATCCTTACAATCTTAGGGCACAGGCAATCCCTAAAAAAAAGAGGAGGTCCCAAGTTGTGCCTGGAAACAGATTGGTACCCAATGCAACTGTTGCAGAGCAGAACTGATATATTCCCATGCACAGATCTTCCAATATCTTCACTGCCAAAATGAATTTCCTGAAGACTCTTTAGAAGTGGTCCCATGGAGAACACATTTAGCTGCATGCAGTTATGCAATCTTGATGTAACTAAGGTATATAGCATGGTGCCCTGAACTGCCTTTGACAGGAATAGGCACAGTTGTCACACCAAAACCCAGTTTTGTCTACAGACATACTTGAGCATCAGACTGAGCACCTCAGACTGCAGACCAGTTTCTTCAGTGGGAGTACTGTCTCATTCCAATAGACTGAATTCCTATTCCAGAGTTCATTTTCTCCTGATCAGGAGCACGTCTTTCTTGCCTGGATTGAGGCTTTATTAACTCACATCCAACCTATTATTGCCTCCTTGTAGCAGTTCAAAGTCTCAGCAATTTCTGTGGAAATAGAAGAAAAGAATACTTGCGTGTCATTCACATAGCAGTGACAGTGCTCCATAAATCCAAAGACAACTTTGGTTTCATGTAGATAGGGGACACATTTCTGGAAGGTGTCAGCAACCAAGGCTTCAATCAATATTCCTGCCCAATAAGCCCACCGACCTTAGAAAAAACAAATATCTCATTTCTACTGAAGGTTTCCAGGTTCAGCCCTGACAGGATTCATGTACCTCCATTCAGAAGTACTTACAAACCAAGCTTGGATTAGGCTTAAAGGAGGGAGAAAGAAGAGTTTTGATATAGTTGTCTGTACCTGTGAATGAGTCTGAGTAATTTATTTTTTTTCTCTTCAAATTTAAGATTTGGTAGCTATCCTACAAGTACTGCTCCAAGAACACAACTACTAGCTTTTGTAACCCTCACCCCTGCTTTTTTTTCCCTTTGGGCCAGGCTCTTCTGCTGCTTGTTTAATCACTAATATTTTTTAGCAGCAAAACTTGGTAGGCAGCTGCTGATAGCTAACGATAGCTCCAAGCATAATCAGCCTTCTAGGGCTTCAAGGACAAACAAATCAAGTTTGTTTGTTGCACTCTTTGATGCTTGTTGGCATAGCTCAATGCAATAACATTTTGACCCTTGGAAAATAAATAAGCAGCTTGTTCTTTATGGACTCTAATGTATTTTTGTTAATCTGTTATAGTGAGGAAAATAGAGAAGGTTGCAAGATGATGTCATGATCTAACTTAAAATAGGTATAGTATTGTGGGAAGTAACGTCGTGCTGCCTTCTTTCTAAACACACTGAAAGGTAGAGGTGATGCCACATGTATTTGTATTAATGTAGTCTGACATCATTTTTTAAGCCTAACAAAGGGTGACAGCTTTGCATATCGCCAACACTGAACAAATTACAAGTGAAGCAAAAGTAAAATTTAGAAATATTTATGTTTCTTGTCAGATTCAGTTAAGCCTTATGAAAATGAATCCAAAACAGGCACGTTGTAAAGGTCTGAGAATGAAAATGAAGTGTTAAAGGTTGCGGTTGTAAATGGAGTGAATAGTTAGCAAAAATGTTAGATTCTGAAAATTTGAGAGTGTCATAAAGAATGCAAGGCCAAAATGAGAACAGAACATTATTTTTCCTATCTTCAGTCCCATTTTGCACATCTCTATATATAGTGAAAAGAGCTATAGGCCAAATTGATGTATTCTTGTAATCCAGATCACAGCTCCAAGTGTACTCCTCACTCCTCTAAATGTGTTTCCCACTGCTGTACATGGGTTTTCACCCACAATTTGTGATACACAGACAAAAGCATCACTGGCACTAGCGATTTGTAAAGTGAGAACTCTTACCGGGATCCAGAGGCTAGAAAAGGGCCTATCAAAGGAGGAGCACTGTCATTCTCATCACATATGGGGAGCTCAAGAAGGCTGAAGTGGCATGAACTGCATCTGACTCCTGCATGCACCTGGCAACATTTGAACCTTGAGGACTGTTCAGAAGCTGTAGCTGGTGCAGAATGCAGCAGCCCGATTGCTAACCAGGACTTGCATATCTGAACATATAAGACCAGTATTGGCCCACTTGTGTTGGCTGCCTGTATGCTTCTGGTCCCAACTCAAGGGGCTGGTTTTAACTTAAAGCCTTACGTGGCTTAGGACCACAATATCTGTTGAAGAGCCTATCTCAGCTGCAATCTACCCAAACACTATGCTCAACCTCTGGGGCCTTCTCCTAAGTGCCGACTCTGAAAGAAGTGTGGAACATAGCAACAAGGGGGAGGGTTTTCTCAGGGGTGAAACCCCATTTATGGAATAACCTCCCCACTCTGATCCAGCAGGTTCCAAATCTGTCATCTTTTCAGTGCCTGGTTAAGAGCCCTCTTTTTTTCTGAGGTCTTTACTGCATTTTTATCATCTGTTTTTATGGACTGTGTAAACTGCCCAGACAGCTTTGGCTGTGGGGCAGAATAGAAATGAAATAAGTAAACATGTAGGCTTCCCTTTGCCTTTAACTGAGCCTGTAGGAGCAAGATGGTTTATCTGACCATGGATGTCCAGTGTGGGATTCTCTACATTTGGTTGTTCCTGCTCATGGTTTTATGGATAATCTATTCCTGTGGGCTATCTTCAAAGTGTACCTTGTGATTTTTGATCAGAAAAAACCCTGTTTTGGTAGTTTACTATTCCATTAACATTTGACATTAATTTCCAAATTTGTTTACACACTGAGCTTGTCAGTATTTCCATTTGTACTAATTTTGGTATGAATAATACTTTTCTTCTTTTTTTCTTGAGTTATAAAGAATTACTATGAGTGGGTTTCCTGTAAGGATGTAAGTGTCTGAAAAGCTACAGGGGGCTCTCCTCTTCATTATCAAATAACGTAATTTGGGAAACCCTTATCTACTTAAAATGGTTTGATAAAAGGTTGTGTTAATTTACTTAGGAATCCTAGAAGGATTGTGTTAGCACCAAGTGCTGTTGTGACTAATCTCTCTGTAAATGTTGAATAAATCTGAGGGTTAATTGAATTGGCACAGACCCCTTTTTGCATTTCTTTACCATTTAATCACACCATCCCGGTTCGCACAATCGCCAAAGCATTAAGTCATGGTGTGTGCTGGCATGGGCCTGGGCGTATTTACCTAATGAGCTACCTTGTTATATCCTCCTAATTCAGATGGCACGGCTTGTTTGAGCAGGGAGCTGCCCTCAATAACTGAGCAACAGGTTTGGGTGACACAACAACATGTATGTGTGTGGCAAATTAGGGAAATTGCAACTGACGTGCTAGCACATGCATCCTAACAACGGAAGAGACCAGCATTAGCTTGATTCTTCTCCTTGTCTTCTTTTGTATCCTCTATTTGTCTAACTGTTATTGTTAAATTACTTTACATGCCTTAGTCTAAAGATGGTATATGAATGAATGTATTGCTCTGACCTAGACAGTGACTGGGTTTGCACAATCCAGTGTGGCACATTTAAACCATGATGGATTCTGGTGTGTGCTAGCTGCCCTGCTGAACATCACTTTGGATTGTTATGCACACCCAACAAGCGTAGCTGGTGGTTAAACAGCCCTCACATAACTGAAACCATGACTTGCGTATTCAGAATGGCTGCTGTTCCATACCGCAACTCATTGTGATGAAAATAAGCCATAATAGGCTGTGATGATTATGAAAACTGATGCAATATGTTGAAAGTTTTTTTAATGTGGAATATGGAGCATAAGGTCAAAAACTGTTGAATCTGCAGATCTATTCTGTACTCCTGGAATGGCCAGAAGTTAGATTGGAACCCACTGGTAGATTGCTGGGTGATGTCATACACTGGTATTGATTTCTGACTAGTTTAACAATTTAGGGCACAGTTTTAAGAATGCTAAAATTACCAG